TATTTTTCATTTATTATTCTTGCAGTTTTACATCTTTCATTCATTTCTTTGTTTTTTTGTTTTTGATTCATTTTTATTTATTTTAATATCTTCTTCATTAATTTTTTTTATATTTGTTTTCTTATTTGTTTTATTTATTATTTTATTCTTATTGAATATAATTCTTGGATAATATTATACATTCTCTTTATCTTCTTATTTTTATGTATTTCTGATTATTCTCTTTTCTCATTTCACTTTTTATTCTTTTATTTTTATTTCAATTTCATTTATTGTTAATAATTTAGATTTATTATTTGTATAATGTTTATTATCATTATATTTACATTGTCTCTTATTTGTTTTTATTTGTATTCTTCTTTTTCTATTCACTTTTCTCTTGTTATTTCTTTTATCATTATTAAACATTTCATTGTTATTTCATTCATTGTTTTCTTTGAACATGAATATCTGTTTATTGTTTACTTTTCATTACAATACTCTATTACAATACTCAATAAGCATTACAACAAAATATGATGTATTTTCTATATTGATAAAAGGATTCTCATAATAATAAAATAAAAAAGAAAAAGAAAAGATAGAGAGAAAAAAATAAAATAATACCATAACATACAAAAAATTATACTAAGAATGAATTAATAATCCAATAACAAAAAATAATAAAAGAAAAAATGAAAAACAAAAATTAAGTTGATGTATTTTTTTAAATAGAGGAAATGGTTAATATAGTTTTGTAAACATCATTTATTTTTCTTTCTATAAAGTTATTATATTACTTCAACTGTTTTTAATTTTATAGATTTGTTCATGGCTTGTATATTTTTTACTTCTTATTGTTGTTCCTTTATTTGCATTCATGTTAACTTTTTGATTAGTGTTTAAATTGATTGACCATTCTTAACTTTTATTTATTACCTAGTTATTTCTATCATTTTTTTCTTTGTTAACTCTTCTTTTTCTTACTTTGACCTATTGTATTTCTTGATATTTTCTTTATACTCTCATTTTCAACAGTTCTTATTTTTGATATTTTTATTATCTTGATCAATTTTCTGTATTTTTTTAATTATAACTTTACACCATGAGTTTCTTTTATTATTCGTTTTTAATTTCTTCAAACCTTTCTTCGAATTTAGATACCCTCAGTTACAATTTTGATTTGGTATTTTCTTTTAATGTCTCTAACCTTATTTTTCATCTTGTTATGGATGTCATCTATCATTTTTGATCATGTTTTCACTTATTCTTGCAAGATTTTTTTCTACAAATTACTTTTTATCAATAATTTATTCATTCTCTGTTTTTTACTATTCCTTTCCTCTTTTTTCCGTCTTGTTTATTTATACTTTTATCTTCCTTTTTATTTCTCATTATTTGTGTTTTTTTAACTTCCAAGTTGTCAATATAAATATTGGAACTTTTCTATTTCATTATTAATTTTTGTTTTTTTATACTATCTTTTGATATATTTTTGTTGTTATATTTCTTTTTTTTGTATTAGAGTTATCTCTTATTTCTTATATTATAACTATCATTTAATTTGTTCTAAATTACATCTTATTATCACTAAATTGTTCTTCTATTTCAAACTTAATTTCTGTGTATGCTCCTTCTATACCTTGCAAAACCAGGAGTGAGCAAAAGTAAGTAATAAAAGGAGGGTGTTGTAAACAATAAACAAGTTTAATGAAACCGAGTTAATTGACCATATGTTCGAATCAAACTGGTAAAGTTATTAAAAAAACCAAATAAAATAAACCAACAAATTAGAGAAATACTAGTAGATACATGGTTGTTGTCAATAAAAAAGATAATGAACAATGAAAAAGTTTTATCATTTAAATTATTATTTCAATAACCAAATTGAAAAACAAAATAATTTTTTTAGTTGTCAAAATATCCCAATTGTTTCATAATAGCATATTGTTCTGGAATTTCATTCATTGCAGCACATGCAAATGCAACGTCTGGATTCTCTACATGACCTTCACAGACTTTATAGTAATTAACAAAATTAAAATTGTCAAACTTGGCATTTTTAACAACATCATCAAAATTCTCCATTACACCAAATGGTCCATCTCCAACACCAACACAAATAATAGAAATTGGATAATTTGAAGCTTCTTCAATAGCCTTTCGATTAACATCAACATCACTAACTTGTCCATCACAAATAATAACAAGAATATGATATTGTTTTGTTTCTTTAACAATTTCTATAGCTTTTTTAATTAATGGAGCAAATGAAGTTGGACCTGATAAGGTAAGAGAAGGAACGATTTTTTTATATTGTTCAATAGCAGCAGCCATTCCAAAAAATGGTTTTTTTTCAGGACTTAAATCAAAAACAGCTTTTCCTTGAGTTCTTTTATCACCAAATCCAAAAACTGGAATAAGTCCATCATCGTCATAAGGAGCAAGAGCTCTTCCCATTATATCCATTACTCTCATATAAGGATTAGGATTTGCTGGGTCAATAGTGTGCATATTTCTTCCATATGTTCTTTTTCCTGATGAAGCATTAGAACCAGTAAAATCAATTCCAACAATTAAATTGGATGATTCTAATCCAGCTTTAGTAAGTGCGGCTTGAAGGTCTTCTAGAGTTTCATATGTAGTCATAATTGGATCTGTTAATCTCTTATGAGGAGTTGCTTGTTCGTTTCCCATGAATGAAGTATTTTAAGATTTTAGTTAAACTCAAAAAGAGATAAATATTAACAAAAAGTTTTTTAGCTTTTTCACAAATGAGGAATGTATCTTTTTTATAAGAAGAGCCATTTAAGAAAATTTTATTGAATTTTGATTATCTTTCTTTAACTTTTTTTATAAAAAAAAAGGAAAAATAACGAAATAAAAAATTGTTATTTCATGTCTTGTGACAGAGTAAAACAAATAATTAGCCTTTTTCAACAACAATCCCCTATTCAAGCAGCTGAAACTGTTTTTAGAAGTATTCTTACAAATGAAACAGATCCAGCATGTCTCCCAATAATGACAACAATGACAGCATTATATAGTGCTATTCAAAGCATTGACATTAATAAATATGAAAGTAAAGAATTAACACGATATGTATATAAATTAGTATCAGTTAATTGTCGTTTGTTATTTAAATAAAATAGGTTAAAATAAATAAAAAACAAATAATAATAATAATAATGTAATACATTTATTAATTTAATAGAAACAATTAAAGCAGCAATTATTTACAAAGAACCACAACTTCTTAAATATGAAGAACCTATATTAATTGGAGTTTTAGATAATGTATCAAAAATGGTAGGGCCAAAACATTATGCATTATTTCTTCAAAAAAATAAAGAAAAAGATAATGAATTTATAATTCATCAAAAAAAATTTGCACAATTAAATTTAAGAGAATTACTTCAAATTTCGCCTAATCATTTTCCTTATACAAATACTTATGACCAAGCAATGACTCTATTAAATATGGTAGAAAAATCAACAAATGCTTCTTCAATGTTAAATAGACTTGTTGATATTCAACAAGAAATCAATCATTCATTAGAAATAGTTTATGGTGAAGTACCTACTTCTTTTGATGCAGATGCATTATTATCAATACTTCAATTTTTATTAATTCGTTCTAAAATTCAACATCCATTTTCAATAATTAATTTTATTGAATCTCATTTTTCAAGTAAAGATTATTCAACACAATATGGATTTTCATTAACTACTTTTACAATTGCAGCAGAAAGTATTTTACAAATTACTGGAAATGCTGATCCTCGTTCTACAGTATTAAATGATAGTCCATTATTAAATACTAAAATTACATCTTGTTTGTTATTATTATCTAATTCATTTATAATTAATATATATTTATATTTTAGTTACTCCTTCTCCAAAACTTTCATTACCACTTCACTTTATGGTCGCAAGTGGTATGGTTGATAGTCAAATGGTAATGAAATATTTTTAATTAAAAAGTTTTCTTAAAATTAATTTAAATAAATTAAATTACTTTAAAAGAAAATGGCACCCATAACAATTGATGATAATGGAATAAACACATTATCATAATTTGGATAACAATAAAATTCAACAAGTGCTCCAATAAATCCTCCTACCAATGATTCAATAATATAAAAATTATTGAAAAGTATCCAACACATAAACATTGCTCCAAGAGATCCAAATACCATTACTGCAATTCCACCTTCAAGTGTTTTTGTTTTTCCCCATGGATTTTTAAGTTGAATTTTTCCTATCATTTTACCAATGATTTCAGCCATTCCATCACCAGTTAACATAATCATCATTCCAATAATAGATGGTGGATAATTTCTCCAATATAAAAGAGATAAAAATGACATGATACAACAATAATTTAATGGACCATATAACATTTCTTTATAATCACCATTTCTACAAACTGTTGCAATTAAAAAATCAGCAATAACTCCTTTAATCCATCCCATTCCAAATATTAAAAATATTATAGCATATAAAATACAACACATAGATCCCCAAATTCTAGCTGTTGGTTCTTCTGGATAATATTTCCATAATAATAATTGGAAGAATCCAAGAGAAATATGAACACATTTCCTTGAAGTATAACTAGTAATAATATTAGTCTTACTTAAAATTGTAGCAATCATAAGACAGACATTAACAAAAATAAGAGTAGTAAGAAAGAGAGTTATACTAGACATAATTTAATGTATTTTAATGATTATTAGTGAGTTTAGATCCATTCAAATACAATTTCCACGTATTCAAACAATTATAAAAACCCTTCTTCTATTAAAACAAATTAACCAAGTTAGTTATACATTAACATATCAATATCACAGATCCTAAATTTAAATGAAAAAGATACATATGAAAATTTTTTCAAATAATCCAAAAATACAAAACCATTTTTACAATTACCAAAACCATTTTTCCAAAAATTGAAGAAAAAAAAAGAAATGAAACAATCAAATCAATTACATCTTTTTTTAATTTTATTTCAAAAACAATCATTTTTCAAAAGTATCTTGAAGTAGATTTGTTAAGTGTCTGAAAGTAGCAATATTTTTTTCTTTAAATTTATCAATAAAAGAAATTACTGATGGAGTATTTTTTTGGTTTTCAAGTAACGATAATACTTTTAGTTGAGAGTATTGAAGATTTAATTCAAAAAATGGATGTTTAGCAATTAAGTCATGAACATTATTATAAATAAAGACACTAATATAATATAATGAATTTTTATCTTCAAAAGTGAAATCGTAAATATGTTGTACATTTTCTTTATTTAATGTCGAACAACAAAAACTAATTAATGGTTCCATATAACTTAAATGAGATAATAACATTTGTTTTTTAGACATAAATGATATTAAATGTTTTGCATGAATTAAATCCCCACTATTCAATGGATCACTAAATCTAATATTAAAATATGTTGTTAAAATATCAACTCGTGGAGTTTGAAATAATTCTGCATTTGTTATAATATCTAATGTGAGAATCGATGGAACTTTAATAAATAAATCAGCTCTAAAATAAAATCGATGATTTCTTCCTTCAATATCTTTAGAAAATGATTGTGGTGAAACATATTCAACAATCAATAGTAGATGAATTAAGTTAAGTATTAATTTTAAATATTTTTCTATTTCATTAATTGGGAATCTTTTAGGAATTAAACTTAATGTTGTTATCATAACATCATTTGGAAATCCTTTTCTATTATGAATATCTTCTGTTAAATAAGTGAATTGAACACAATTATTTGTTATTAATGTATCAAATGAGAATAAAATGGTTGATGTTTCTTTTGATATTTGATGAGATTCAGGATTAATAAAAAGAGTTAATGATGAAAGGTCAGATATAGTTAATAAAATACAAGATCTATTAATTGATTTAATAAGTTTAATAACGATATCAAAATATTGTACAAAAGTATTGATAACAAATAAGGTTTGGTTAATTTCTTTTAAACTGAGTATTTTTATTGTTGTCTCTTTTATTCCAGTAAATTCAAAATGAACAAATGAAGATAAATATTGGTATTGTTCATTAAAATGAATATTAAATTGAATAGTATCAAATAAAGAAGATGTAAATTCTATTTCATAACCATCAAAGAAAAGAGTTTTTTCATTAAAGTATTTTAACTTTGAAAAAACCTTTTTTAAGAACATGGCTAAATGAATAAATTGTATAACTCTAATAAATAATAATTGAACGTCTTTTTCAACATTATCTTTTTTAAAAGAGAATTTAAATTTTTTAGAGTCAATACTAAAAGAAGTACCGAAAGAAGGTTTGAACTTATCAATAAAATGATCAATCCAACCATTAAGATCAACAAAGATATAAAAATATAAATCATCAGAAGATTGTTCTAAAGAAATAACAAAAGGAGAATATTTTGTTATAACCAAATAACAAAGATTTTTATTTTTTGAATGAATCACACTAATTGAGCAAAAAGGAAGTTTAAATTGATTTGAGAATTCTTCTTTAAAGAAGTCAAGATAAATAATAAAATAATATTTAGAATAAGACTCTTGACAAAATTTCATAATTTTTTCAACAGAAGTTAAAGAAGAAGAAGAATTAAAAACTTCTTTTGAACAAGAACAATAATTAACAAGTTTATTTCTAAATCCAACACAAATTAAATTTTCTTCAGGAGTTTTAGAAATAATAAAACAAAGACATCTACTTTCAGATTCTTGAATTTTAAAAGGAAAACCACAAATAATATTATTATTTTGTTGTTGTTGTTGAATACAAATATTAGAAATTTGAATTTTACCACGAATTTGATCAAATTTATCAGTGTGTTCAGCAATAGATTTCATAATATCACTTTCAACTAATTGAATATTTGCATTAACAAAAAGAATTTTAGCAACAGTAAAAATTTGAGCGTATTGAGTAAGAATATGAATATCATCAAAAATTAAATGATGGTTTTCTAAAGGATTTTTAGTAAATTCAATAGAATAATTATTTAAAAGAGAAGGAGGTAAATAAGGAGAAATAAAAGAAATATTTCCAGTATATAAATTAATAAAAATATTTGTATAATTCTTTTCAGAATAATAATTTAATTCTTTCATATATTCTAAATTAATTTGTTCTGCCATTGCTTGCGCTATAACTATAATTTGTTTTTCTAGTGAAAATGAAATATTAAAAAAGTCAATACTTTTAGGTGGAATATGTGTTATTCTAAAATTATTTGTTTGATTATTTAAACGATATTCTAAACAAATAGTATTTCCCCAATAATATATTTTTAATACTTTTTCAACTCCATTTGTTTCAATTATACTTTTTAAATTTGGAAATATTTTTTTACTTGTTAATATTGTACATTCATTTAATAAAGAATTAAAATGTGCATTTTTGGCAATAATATTTAATTGTTCTATTAGTATTTTAATTGGTTCTTTTCCAACTTCATTTTCATTTAATAAATTATTATTTATTCTTTCTATAATTTTATCTTCTGCTTTTATTTCTTTTGGAATAAAAAGTGTTAATTTAATAATTCTCCATTTAATTTCATTACTTAATAATGCTATTTCAGGATTTTGAATTGTTATCCAACAACTAAATGTTTCTTTGTTATGAATAAATAACATTCCTCCATAAATATCTATTTGATCACATTGTATTTGTTTATAATGAATATAATAATATCTCCATATTCTTTGTTCTAATAAATGTATTATTTTTTTATAATTTGGTATATTTATTTCAATATGTGGAAGTGGATATGTCTTTTTTATTAATACTTCTAATGCAATTGATATTTCTGGAAATCTTGTTCGTTGTTCTATTCCTTTTTTCCCATTTTTTAATATCCTTTTTACAATCGAGTGTAATTGAAGTATCGATTCTTGACATACTCTATTAAATGTGTCTATATCGTGTAATACTGGATTTCTTCCTAACCATCGTGTTACAACTAATAATTTTCCTAATGAATGAATTCCACGTTCTAATGCTATTATTATTTCTTCTCGATTCCCTGAATTTAATCCTTTAGATATCTCATGTGCAATACTAAATGTTGTGTTACGAATTATATCAATTAATGTACTTCGTTCTGTTGTTATTTCCATTATACAAAAATTAATAATTTATTCAATCTTTTGTTTTCTTTTTTTTTTTTTGTTATCATTTTATCAAAATGTTTTATTCTTTTTATTATTATTTATTTTATTATTTTTTTTCTTAAAATAAAATTAATAAAAAATATTTTTTGTTTCTTTCTCTTCATTTCATGAATTTAAGATTCTTTTCTCTCAAATTAAGATTTTATTCTCGTTTATTATGCTCATAACATCACTTCTCAATCGTTGCAAAGGTTTTCCTCAATACATCGTTGAGAATGAAGAACAACGTTCATTCCTCAAATTACATCAAAGTAATTCCGTTATTACTCCTCATAGTCAACCGATTCATTCATTACAACAAACTTCTCAATACACCATCGTTGCGTCTTGTAACCAAATTACAGTTAATGATTATAGACAAACAAAGAACATTTTTATTAATCAAAAGTCTGTACGATGTCATCCTTGTTTACCATTTACTATTGTTTTACAACAAAAATCAACTAAATTATATTATGAATGGAATATATTTGAATCTATTTATTCAAAAAATCCAACTGATGTAGTATTTCTTCTTTCTAATTCTTTTGCTTTATCATCAGAAGACGGTGTTAATATTTTTGATAATCAAACAGGAAAACTTCTTGGAGGAGTTGTAGTTGAAGCAAATTCATTGGGGACTGATGGGGTTGATGTTTATTGTGGAGGAAAAAATCAATATTGTCTTGATATGAAAATGTTTAAAAAAAGATGGGAAATACCAAAAAGTGGAAAACTAACAATGAAGAATGGTATTGGTATTATTAAAGATTTATCAACAATTTCTGCAATAGATTTAAATGGAAAATGTTTATGGACAATGGAAAAGAAAGGAGTGAGTTGTGTAGAGTTGTCAGATGATGGTCAATATTTTTTGTTGGGATATCAAAATGGATCAGTTGATTTATTCCAAAGTCAGACAAGTACTCAACTTTGTAATTTGGAAAGACTTCATGATGAACCAATCACTGCCATGAACTGGTCATCTTCTCAACTTCACTTATTAACAGGAAGTAGAGATGGGTTAGTTATGAAATGGAACTGTTTTAACAAACCAGAAATTATTCATACTGACGAATGGGAATAAAATAATAAGTAATTATACATTAAGATTGATTTAAGAGTTCGGAAGTTTTATTTGTGAAGGGAATTTCTTTTTCTTGTTATTTTTTTGTTTACTGTTTTTTATTTCATTCTTTTAAATCAATAATAATGTTAATAAAAAGTAGTTAATTAAGTATTAATAGAACTTGTGTCTATTGTTCCTTGCTCAGGGGAGACTACTAATCCCGTCCCTTCGCTTTAAAAGTATTTGTTCTTCAACTATTAGCTTATTCTTTGCTTCTAGTTGTTGAACGGTGAGAATTTTCTTTTCTCATTTTTGATGTGAAATAGAGTATTTAAACATCCCTTATTTAGATATTCATTATTAAATTTCTTTTTAATTTCGATGGGTTTAAATTTCTTCTTCTTTATTTTCTTATTTTAAGGAGAGTATATAATTACTACTGTATTGCTTTGGGCTAATATTCTTTTAGCCTCATCCACTTGACCCTTTTCCTTTGATAATCTTTCTTATATTATCAATTATACTTGTATTCTAACAAGTAATAATAACATCTTTATAAATACCCATTCGTTTATTGTCAATGATATTCTGTCATTGTACATAATAAACACTGCTATTCTTGCAGTACCGGGTAAGATGTTTGTCTAACCAAACGCAACGCCATAACCAGTCCATGACTGGGGGGAATCGAAGGATGGAAATATTTTAGGGTTCTGTGTGGTGTCTCTGACGTGCTACCTTCGAATCCAATCAATAATAATGTTAAAAAAAAAAAACGATTTTTTTCTCTAAAAAACACACTTAGAAATAAGAAAATCTAAAAATATTACTAAGAACTTAAAATTGAAGTTTAGAAAGTAAGTGATGAGCCATCAAGAAAAAAAGTCTAAGAAAATCTTTTCATTAAGAGAAAGTTTAAAAGATAAATGGAGATTAATTTACACTTTCTTTGATGAAAAAAAACATGAATTTTATGATACAGAACTTATAACAGAAAATAAGGATGGAATGATTCAGTCACTTAATGATTTTGCGGAACGAATTGAAAATGATATTAAGAAAAAAAGAGAAATTGATTCGAATGAAGTTAAAGCATATTTAGTTATTTTCTATGCTTTACTTATTTATTTCCCACAACTCCCATCAACAACAATAGAATTGTATTTAAGTTTGTTTCATTCAATTTAATAAAATTTAATAGAAATAAAAAAGAATATATAAATTAATGAATAGATAAAACTGAACGTTTTTTGGCACCAAAAGTACCAAATTCAATTAAAACATTTGCATTTGAAGTTGTAATTTTTTGTGTAATAAAATCAGGATATGAAACATATTTATCAAAATTACTTGAGTATATTGATTTAAATACATTTTCAACAAAAATTTTAGATTTACCATCAATGCCAACAACAGAATTTACTTTTACAGAAGAAGTAGATGAAAAAAATCAACCAATTATTCAAATGAAAAATATTGATTGTTCTATTACAAAATTAAATATTTTCTTTCAAAGATTTTTAAAAGATATGAAATCTTTTGAAATATTATTACCAACATTTATTCAAATATTATTATTAATGTTTCCTAATACTGCTCCAGAAATTACAAATAAATTAAAAGTATTTCCACAAGTTCCAGCTAAATTATTATTAGTTATTTGTGAAAATGGAATATGTAAAATGAGTGTTGATCAGAGATTAAGAATTATACAGTCATGCCCATTCTTTCCTTTAATACTTAAATTAATTCTTCAAGAAAGTTTTGCTTTAGTTCTTGAAGAACCTCAACTTCTTTTTGTCATTAGATGGTTTTTTTCATTTCTTTTAGATCCAATGAATTCAGTTATATTAAGTAAATTAACTGGTAAAACAAAAGAACAATTTGATAATTTATTAAATTCAATTATCAAAACAACAGAATCATTTTATATTTTAGTCCCTTTAATTACAAGTTATCCAGAAGTAACATTAACTATTGATGGAAAAACAATAAAGAAGGATGTTGTAGAATTTTTAAATGAATTTTTAAATGTATTTATTGTACCATCTCAAACAGTTCAAATTAAAGAACAATTAAAATTAAGTTTACAAAATTCATTAAAGTTATATTATCAACGTGCTTTTGAAGCAAAAAAATTAAAATATGGATACGTTCATAAAAGAATTACTTCTATTACTAAAACACTTTTTAAAACTTGGATTTCTTGGCCTCCTAATGATACTGCATGGGAAGAACTTCAAACAACATTTATTCCTCTTATGGCCATTGAAGGAGTAATTACTGTTGTTGATTCATTTTTTAGTCACATCACTATTTGTTTATTAAATATTCAATATCCACAAAAACCAAATGACCAATTATTTACAAAAACATATGATGATGTCGTTGAACCTATTACATTAAATGAAGAATTAAAACCAATTACAACATCGTTATTTAAGGAAGATCTTGTTAGAATATGGAAATGTTTATGGAAATTTATTGATATGTCTGTTGATATTCCTAATGAAGAAAGAGCAGAACGATGGCATAATGTTATGTTTAAATCATTACAAATGATTCTTTTTTATGAACAACGTTGTGGTCCATCTAAATTTGAACTTCATGATATAATTGTACCATATTTATTAGCTACTGCTTCTAAACATCATTTTAAAGAAAATAATACATCAATTTGTCAAATATTATGTAGAAGATATCCACAATATACTGATAATATTAATGCAGTATTAATGGGATATCTTAAAAATGTTATTCAACAAGGAGATTTTTCAATATTAGCAGATATGTATGATTTATTTACTACTTCTATTAAAGGAAAAACTTCTATTCTTAATGACGTTTTAATATCTCTTAGATGTCTTACAATAGAACAATCTAATTCAATGGAATTAAATCAACAAATAAGAATTGCTTCTTTACTTCATTCATTATTATTTTATTCAAAAATTTATCCAACTATTAACACTTTATTATCAGATGATATGGGATATCAAGATATTTTAACTTTATGTTATTCTAATTTAATTCAAATTTTTACTAATCCAGAAATTCAACAAACTTTATTATGGGGAATTGTTGTTAATTTGTTAAGTGCTTGTGAAGCTAAACGTCCAAATGATGAATTAAGAGTACTTTGTGATATATTTCTTCAAAAAACAGTCCATCCAAATTTATGTTTATGTAAACAAGCAATACGTTCTTTAAGAATTATTTCAAGATGTTCAGAAATTATTCCAAATGAAATATTAACTTATATTGCCGAAACTCTTTTAATATTTATTTCTAATAATACAATGGATGATACTATCATTCCAATAGCCCTTGAACAATTAGAAGATTTTATTTTAGTACCAAATGGAGTATTAAGTCAAGGAATATCTGCTGCATTACAATCAGTATTAGTTCGTTTATCTGATAATACAAATACATATGTTCAACAGTTTATTCTTTTAATAGAACATTATTTTAATAGAAAAATTAGTCTTCCTTGTTGTGATGATTCATTTACACGTGATGTTTATTTCATTGGAAGAAATAAAGTTACTAGTGAAAATGAACATTCATTGTATATTATGCAAAATAATTCTATTTTTTCATTTACTGATAATGGAAGTAATGGTGTTGATGTTGTTGTTAGAAATTTATATGGAACATATCATTGGATAATTTCTTCAATTGAAAGAACTGAAGAATTTACAACAAAAGAATTTAATTTTAAACCTGAAAAATTGTTAAACGAAAATATAATTTGTCCTTGTGATGGATCTTTCGAACTAATTTCAAGTGGGATGAATGATTTAGGAGAAAATATTGAAAAAGAAATGAAAGAAGAGTTAACAAATATTGAAATGAATGCATTAAAATTAAATGCTAATATTTTAAGGTTAAGTAATAAACCAATTGAAGTAGAAACTAAAAATATGGAAATAACAAGTAAATGGGATTATATCCAAAGTTTAGAATTATTAACAAATACTAAAGATCCTATCATTCAATTAACAAATGATAAAAAATTAAAACAATTATTATTTAAATTAGATTGTCTTCCTATAAGAAAAAGATATTCTTGTTCTTTAGTTTATTTCAATGTAGATTCAAAAATGTCTTTATTTAATGAATGTTCTCCTCAATTTAATGAATTTGCTGGTTCATTAGGATATTTAGTTTCTAAAGAATTATTCATTGGTAATTTCCCAAAAGAATGTGAAAAAGCTTATTATTATTCTGATGAAACTGTTGAAATCACTTTTGCTCCAAGTACTTATTTCAAAAGATCATCGTTAAATTCCATTTCTACTTCTTGTGTTATTGTCTGGAATGAAAGTGAATTAGCATTAGATACTTCTTTATTCCCAAAACCATCTACCGTTATTGAAATCCATCCAAGAAATGATGGTATGTTTGTTATTGATATGTGGAGAAATGCTACTTTACCTGTCAGTGTTATTGATCTTACTGGTCCTTTACAAACAAGTATGCTTGTCCCAAAAAATTTTTTACCAATTCTTGTCAGAGAGACTGTTCTTAATATTTGCTATTTCAATTCATCTAGTCTTTCTCAGTTACAACTGAGACAATACGTATTTTCTGAAATTGGAACTACAAGTGATCTCGTTAAAAAAGCCTTTTCATCAATCACTGCTTTGGAGTTGACATTGTAATTGAATTCTTTTTATTTCTTTTTTTGTAATAATATCCCAATTTATTTAAATGCTTTTCTTTTGAAATATTTTCTCTTAAATTAATGTAAATTCGTTAATCTATGTATGATTTTTTTATCATATAACAAGAGTAGTTGATGTTCTTTTTTATAGGCGATCTTTCTTTTTCATTAAAATAGTTTTTTAATTATACTCAACTTTATTTATCTAAAAATCTTTATGAAGAAATAAAATCATAATCACTCCACTTTTCTCCTTTTTTTCATATCTGATAGTTTTATTTCTTATCTTTCATTTATTGTTCATGGTTATCTCTATCCTTCTTTATTTATCTTTATGGTCTTTCATTAT